AAGAATTTATTTTTTTCAAACATACACTTGTAAAACTTAACTATTCTTTCAACAAACCATGGTAGGATTATCTAAGAAAGACAAACAGTAGCAAATACAAAACAATATTTACGTAAGCATTTGCAGGGTTACAATATTAAAGTGACATAATGACTATCCACAGTAATAAAAAACATTACATTTTGCCGTAACTGTGTTCACTTGTTTATTTGACTACCCAAAAATAATCATTCATCCATGGAGCCCTATGCATTTTTCTATAAATGTTAATTAATGGGAATTAATCGGTATTGTATAATTTTTAAAAAGATGGTGTTTTTTTCTGATTAAGTTAGTTTTCATATTTTATTATAAACATTTTTCATTATCAATTATGCAATTTAGTTAATCACCACTATAAATAGTCAATCCTTTCAAATATCTTACTTATTCATCTCAACTTGACAGCGAAAAAATGAGGATAATGTCTTTTTCATTAACGTATGAGGTGATGTAAGCAGTTTTATAACTAAAATATACAACTAGTGACTTCAAAAATAGTGATATTGTACAGCTTTTCAGTGACTGCAAATGTACAAATGTAATAGAAATACTAGAGCCTATCAATGTTATCACTATGTCAAACAATAGATGATCCTACACTCTAAATATCATTCTAAAATATTCTTGGTGTCTTTTTGAAATAACAGTTAACAGGGCTGGGAATCAAAACTGCGTCGTATCCTACAAAATGTAAACAAACGCCGCCATCTTGGAACGAAAAGGTTATGTTCCTGTTTATCACTTTATATGTTGGAAATGACTGAAAACGAGTATTTACACGCTACACTATTATTCCACTTCGTTCGGTATATGTCGCTTGCACAATTATTTTGTAAAACAAAAGTGACAGTGAACTTGCAACTCGAAGCGGAGCAGAATTTTTAAGAAATTGTGTGGATACGACGCAGTTCATATTGCTTCATCTTCCTTCAAATTAATTATATATTCGTTTGAGAGTTCACCATCAACTTCAAAACATAATTTTTCATCATTTACTAAAATTTCATTGAAAAGAAATGTTGATTTTTCAAGAAAATTTGTACAAAATTATACGACGCAGTTGAAGATAAAATATGATACGACCCACTTGTATTTTCATCGCAGGCTGCATATTGGTTCAACTAATAAATTATGCGTTAAGCATGCAAGTAAAGTCCAACAACATTTCTTGTTTGTGAATTTTTATCTTATGAATGCGCACAAGTGACTTTGTATGCAACTTAAGTCAAAAGCACTCATTGGTTCCACGAAAATAGAAAATGTTATAAAATTTCTATTAAAGCCTCATTTTTCGGTTGCATTTTAAGTTCCTATCATAAGCATCTACAAATTCCGAAAAGGCTGTATCAAATGCAATATATATTGAAACACGTGATTGCACACCCATATGACAACGTGTTCTAGTGTTGCATTAGCGAACTTTTAAACTTGTTTCCGTGAGATTTGGAAACTAATGGGGGGGATTACTTTTTCGTCTGCAGTTTTGTGATACAAATTTCAATATTACAGGGAAACCTCTCCTGAACCCTGTATTAATCCGGAATGACATTAATTTTGTTTTTTTAAGGAGAAAGAATTACAAATTTTGAAAAAATGTCTTTTGCTCTCGGAAGATGGGTATATGCGCAAATTGCACGCCTTCCTTTGTTTCTTACAATTAACAACAATTTCCGACAATTCCGTTATTACTTCTGTTTTTTATGATAAATTAAGTAACGTGTTCATGTTTAACGGAAAAGTAGCTACCGCAATGTAAACTTTCAAATTAAATGTTATATTGGACATAACAAAATGTATTCTAAATAATAAGAAGTAACAGAACATTACCATAAACCGCGAATGAACTGTGTTTTTTATCTAGCGCAAGTGATTATTCGGTAAAATAGACATATATTGCCTAAATTATCCCTGTTTAAAAGACTGCCAAAAAATACAACTTCGTCGTATCATATTTCATTTTCAACTGCGTCGAATCATTTCGTACAAATAATTATTTTCTTGGAAAATAAACATCTCTTTTTAATCAAATTTTAGTAAATGATGCAAAATCATATTCTGAAGTTTATGGTAAACTCTGAAATGAATATATGTTTGATTTGAGTGAAACAAACGATAAAGCAATATGAACTGCGTCGTATCCACAAAACTTCATAAAAATTCTGACCGCTTCGAGTTGCAAGTTCGCTATAACTTTTGTTATACAAAATAGTCGTGGAAGCAACATAAATTATACCGAACGAAGCGGCCAATTGTTGAGCATACCGTATAAGTACTTATTTCTGCGGGCTTAATATTCTACGATTTTGGTTAAAATAAGGGGTTTTAAATTTCTGCATATCTTATTTCTGCGGTGTCATCATTCTCGCATTTATGCTTTTTATTTCTACGTTTTAATTTTGATATTTTTAATTTTTACAAAATTAACCGATACAAACAGACAACATTTATGTGTAATACTGCATATGTATAAATATAAAGTGTGAAAAATAAACAATGGTAACATCGCACGTAGACACAATATATTGTACAAATACAAAAGGGTATGTTTATTGCACCCGTCAAACTATAATAGTATTATTTTAAAATAAACCAAGCTTAGGGTGAGCGAAAATCATACAAAAAGAACAAGTAAAGTAACTTTTTTTCTAATATTTATGACGGATACATAAAGAAACATTCCCATCTACGGTACATGATAATGTAATTATACAATACAGGTAGTTGACATATTCCGACATACATGTAGACAAGTCTTAATTTTCTGCGGTGTTTAGCTCGACTATTCGAAGAATATGAGAGCTATTGTAGTCGCCCCGGCGTCGGCGTCAGCGTCCGCATCGGAGTCTGCGTTGGTTAAAGTTTTTTGTAAAGTCAAATATCTCAATCATTACTTGAGATATTCAATTGAAACTTACAGTACTTATTTATAGTAACAAGGTACATCAGATTGACAAGTTTGATAACTCTGCCTACAATATTGACAGAATTATGCCCCTTTTTAACTTAGAAATTTTGGTTAAAGTTTTTTGTAAAGTCAAATATCTCAATAATTACTTGAGATATTCAATTGAAACTTACAATACTTATTTATAGTAACAAAGTACATCAGATTGACAAGTTAGATAACTCTGCCTACAATATTGACAGAAGTATGCCCCTTTTTAACTTAGAAATTTTGGTTATTTTTTTTGTAAAGTCAAATATCTAAATTATTGCTTGAGATATTCAATTGAAACTTAAAATACTTATTTATAGTAACAAGGTACATCAGATTGACAAGTTGGATATCTCTGCCTACAATATTGACAGAATTATGCCCCTTTGCAACTTAGAAATTTTGGTTAATGTTTTTTTGTAAAGTCAAATATCTCAATTATTGCTTGAGATAATCAATTGAAATTTAAAAATACTTTTTTATAGTAACAATGTACATCAGTTTGCAAAATTGCATAACTCTGCCTGCAAAATTTGAAGAATTATTTGCCCCTTTGAAACTTAGAAATTTTGGTTAAAGGTTAAAGGTCTTCAAAGATATTTACTTGAAACTTTACACATGCACTTAGGATCATAATTGTATGTCACTGACCAAGTTCCATAACTCTATCTTGCATTAAGGCTGATTCATATCCCCTTTTCTACTTAGTCTCTTGGTTAATGTTTACATGCAAGTTTTACATATCTCAATAACTATTAAAGATATTTATTTAAAACTTCACATATGCATTTAGGGTCATAATTGTAGGTCACTGACAAAGATCCATAATTCTATCTTGCATTTAGGCTGATTTTTCTCCCGTTTTTCAACTTAGAAATTCATGGTAAAGTTTTGCTTGTAAGCTGTTATCTCAATTACTACTGAAGGGTTTGTGCCTTTTTTGGGACAATTTTATGCATTCATAATAATAAAGCAGTGATTTACTTGATAAAACATCTTAATTAGAAGCCTTTGTACCTTTTCTGTCAAATTTATGTATTCATAGGTAATTAGTATTATTATACTCAATAAAACAACCTTGTGACATTACCTTCCGAATAGTCAAGCCAATACTGTATAATAAGACTCTCTCTAAGGCGTATAACATGAATTTATTAAAAAAAAATTAGACCTTTTGTGATCTTAAAAAATTTAACATTATCAAGGCTCTTTTACTATCAAGCACTTAGAATAGTCGAGCGTGCTGTCCTACCGACAGCTCTTGTTAAATCTGCGGTGTCGTTATAAACCGCAGAAATAGCAGAAATAAAGTTCCCGCAGAAAAAAGTACTTATACGGTATCTGGTTTTCAGTCATTTCCAACAAAAAAGCATACCTTTTCGTTCCAAGATGGCGGCGTTTGTTTACATTTTGTAGGATACGACGAAGTTTTGATTCCCATCCCGGTTGCATTCTCGACGCAATTGAGAAAAATATGCATCAACGTGGCTACACAACGTGGTATATGACGTCATATGAAGGCTTCTTGAGCAGCAGGTAATGAATTTTCGATAATGAGTACGACATATCGTCTTTATTCTATATATTGTTTATATTGAATCAGATATATTCCGAGATAACTGTCAGAGATCTAAAACTTTGTTTATTTTAAGCAATGAAAGAAAATGATGGCATATACGACGTGTACAGTCTCGTTGATAATGCATTTGAAACAAAATGATTTTATGGAAATATTGAACAGTTTTTTTATATAAATAAGATTTGTATTGATCATTAAACATTTTTTTGACTTATCATTAAATAAAACAGAAACGCCAAATATGAAACACTATTATACAAAATGGTCAAAAATGACATTTTAATTGCTTGAAATACTATTATGATATATCACTTATTATATACTTGGTAACAGATATATGAAAACGTCACAATCTTTCAAAAATAAGTGCAAGAATTACAAAGAAATCGAAACAAGATAACTTTCGTATCACACGAAACTGTCCGTACAGTTAATCAAATGGTTACTTCAAAATGAAAACAGTCTACATCTACAGTACATAAAATATTATGTTTACATGAATGAAATGCCTCTAGGAACATCACATATAGCAATTGTCACTAATTATTATTCACGTGGAAGTACAACCACTGGTTTGCCGTCCCGGTCCTCAATTTTCTGCAAAGTGACACGACCCGTTTCTTTGCTAACAGCATTCGCAACAGATACACGGTTCTTTCTACAGCAAAGATATGTCATGAAATTCATTCGAAATTTTCTGTTCATAAATGTATAGATAACTGGATTGATGCAACAACTGGCCATACTCAGACATTTGAAATAGAATTGAAGGTAGACGATTGTTTTCCGGCTCAACATTTCTCTATCAATTGATTTCTCAACCGAATTCAATATCATAATAGGGCTCCAGCACAAAATAAAGGCAAGCATAACAATAACCAACATTTTAATGACACTTTTCTTCATGTCCGCATTTCTAAGCGAATTTCTCCGCATTCCAACTGGCTTTCGAATCCATAACTGATAGCCAATTAGCCCATACGTTGTGGACATTATAAGAAGCGGAATTATGAATAAAACAACCAACGTTAACCAAAGTTCCAAAGGCAGTTTGTATTTATTTTCCGGCCAGACGCATACATAATTTTCTTCCTTTGAATTATCCTCACATTTCTGTTCAATTTTCTTAACCGTGTAAAAGACAGCATTAGGGATGCTGCATACGATCGAAAGGCCCCATATACCAATTAAGAAGATAGCGGCAGGTTTAGGGTTCTGTAAAAACTTCAGTTTATATGGATGAACAATTGCCACGTACCGGTCAAGTGCAATAGAACACAATGTTAGCGAACTACACGCAACGGAAAATGTCATGAAAAACGGCACGAGCTTGCAGGCAAACGGCCCGAATATCCAATAGATATCAAATGCTGCACCAAGATTAATTGGAACGCAAGTTAACGTTACCATGAGGTCTGCTACTGCTAAGGATAAAATAAAGACGTTTGTAACAGACCTCATGTTTTTGTCGAATGCAAACGTGACAATTACCAAGGAGTTTCCGATAAGTGACATAAAAGCAATGATTCCGTAAAGTATTGATAATAACACCTTTGATTCTAATGACACACCTATAACTTCATATTTATCTTTTGTAAGTTCTTTAAACAAATCTGGATATCTTTTTGCACAAAACTGATCGGAGTCCGGTTCGGAACATTTAATAGTTCCTTCACAAATAGCTCTTTTTAGTTCTTCAAGCAAGTTTTTAGCCGTTGTAGACATTATTATGCCTTTGAGAAAACAATCTTTTGTGTTATACGCGGTATTAAGTTAAGCCAAAAAGTCGAATAAAATTATCCAGTGCACATTTTCAAAGTTTTAAAAAATATGAATTAAAATAGTAAGTCATATTCAAAGCGTCCTAATGCAAAGACGTTCTACACTAAAATCAACTACAACAAAGGTGACACCTTAATATAATTTTGAAGTGTAAGATATCATTAGAGTGTACATATGATAAAAGTGATCGCTTTAAGAAGTCCAGTTTCGGTTTGCAAATATGATGCCATACGTTTATCTATAACCTGTCATTTTGTCAGTAGTCCATGATAAAGAGTCTAAGAAATTATGGCCTGATTTTGAGTTGGACAGGAACTCTTTCTTCAAGAATTTGCGACAATGATCGATTACCGCAAAATCTGTCACACAGAGTCGATTGATTAAATTACAGATTACTTTGTAAAAAATATGAATATGTAACAGCCATATGTTCATATTGAAAACATACATCATGGCTTAACAATAATTGTTCAGGCTTTAGTTTCTGATGTTTGTCCACTTCTGTCAGGTAAAACCGGAAGTTCAAGCTGTGTGGTAGTTTTACGACTTTCAGTTGATAATCTATGTTCAAGCATTGGTTGAGCTTGACTTTTTCGGCAGGACAAGAGAGTTCTGAAAGCTTTTCTAAATTTTTCATTCATGAACGCATAAACTAATGGATTCCAGCACGTGCTACTTAATGCCAGACATTGCAGGAAAGACCGCCAGTTTAGACTGTTTACGTTTGTCGGCACATGATTTGCGTTTGCGATGACATTAAACAGCAGAAGTGGGCTCCAGCAAATAATAAAGATAAACACTACCGTGATGAGCATCTTAATTGCTTTACGTTTAAGTTTTAGTCTGTTGTCATGGTTTCTCTGTGAAACAGCTCCGATAGGTCTTTGGACCCATAGTTTATGACAAATTATACCGTAAAGTATAGACATAAAGAGAAATGGTCCGCAAAATAAGACGAACATCGTTATCCAAATGTCAAAAACTTTCTTTGCAGTATGATAATGTTGTTGAATACAAACGATTTTATATTCTTCATTCTTGCACACAGATACTTCACGCGTATCGTAGAAAAACGCATAAGGAATTGTTGACGCGGCAGACACGCACCAAACAATTACTTGCAAAATGGTAGCACGCTTTGTCGTCTGTATAAACTTCAACTTTAAAGGATGAACTATTGCGTAATACCTGTCAAATGCAATACAGCAGAGTGTTAACGAACTACATGCAACAGACATCTGAGTAATACAAGGCATCAGTTTGCAGCCGAAACGTCCAAATATCCAACGTGTTGGTTTTAGAATTAACCCCAGATTCATTGGATTACACGTGAGCGTCACCATGAGATCACTTATAGCGAGTGACAAGATGAACACATTGGTCACAGATCGCATGTTTTTGTTTAATACAAATGTCATTACGACGAGTATGTTGCCACAAAGAGATAGACATATCACAACCGATGTCATAATTGACAATATCACTTTACTCGCCATTGGTATAGTTTGAGAATATAAGCGATCGATTTCTATCTTCCTCTTCAGATCGCCGAAATACTCTTCACATACAATGTTGAGACTACTCGCTCTATCGTCTGAGCAAAAAATCGCTTCGCAGACTCCCTGCAAAATGGCGGGGTCGACTGGTGTCTCAAGCCCCAATTCATTGTAACGGCAACTTGCGTTCCAAATCACCGAAGACGTTATTGTTTCGTTGGTAAATGAAATGTTTGAGTTATCCGGGGTCATTTGTGTCGTGTTGAATGAAACCATAATGGTGAATAATCCAAAGTGATATTATTATATGGCGTCTTTAGTCAAGAAAGAATTTAAATAACCAAAATATGAAAAGATATAACACAATTTATGTGATCAAGGTTCTTATGTTGTTATCAACTCTTTTATTAGCAGTTGATACTCCTTTATCATCTGTTCTAGTAACAAGAAATCATATTTTCTTAGGATTATGGAACAAATGCAATTATTTACCTATGTGATCTGTATTTCTTTTGGATTTCATTGTAAATATTATTTCAAAGCATTTCAATATGTTAAGATTAGGTTTAGAATTAGATAAAACCCGATACCTGGAGATACTGACTCGCTAGAACGGTTAATGTAAACACAATGGAGGCAATGTTCTTAAATGGTTTCCTGACAGTATGGACATTGTTTACCAAGCACTGGTCATTTATCAGTTTGGAAAGGATTGGTAATGATTGGTAATTGGCTTCAAGATTCTATATCTCCACGTTGACGTCAAAGGGTTGGGATTTACGATGAAGCATATTATTTGTTCAAGGGAAAATGGTGCTCAAAATAAATGTCAAAGAAAAAGTAAAGATCTAGTTGAGGTTTATATGATTGAACTATCTTTAACATATCTAAAATCTGGAGAAAAGATTTTCTAAACTTAAAACATATTGACTATTCAAATAAAACTCAACCTAAAACCAAACGAAAGTTCTCTACTTGCACAATTGCGCTACGGTATATTACCAATTCGTGTAGAAACAGGAATATATGGCGGTGAATAACCAGAACAGAAACAATGTACATTATGTGATTCAGGTTTAATTGATGATGAAATGCATTTCGCTCGTATCATGATATAAGATTGAACCATTAAAGTGGCATTTTATCGATTGATCAATTTACTGAATCGTTATTTGTGTCGAATCCTGTACATATTATTCAGAATCACCCTTTAAAATTAGCCAGATTCATAGTATCGGCATACATGAGACGTAAGGACTATTTGTTTCATAGACGCTATTGCTTTGATTATTGATTTATTTAATTTTGGGTTTTATTAGGGCATTTCTGTGGCATTTGTTATCATATTAACCATTGATGTACATATAAATATATGTTTGACCAATCTTAATGCTTTTTATAATCTTAGATAATCGCAAATTTATAACAGTAAATATAGCATAGAGTTGTAATCGATGACTTAAAAATGGTATGTTTAGAATTTATGTACTAAGATATAATGCATTACAGTGACGTGATCAATTATCTTTAGATAAGCCTTCTCTTATCAATGGACTTTGACTAATGTTAAATTTTCGTTTTTAGCAATATGTAAAGTTACAACAGTAAAGTACTAGTTTAGTACTCTTAACTTAAATCATCACCACGTTAACATATTCAGGACTTTAAATTCGTAAATGTTGAATATGCTGCAGTCGTATTGAGATAAACCATAGTTAAAGGTTCTTTAAACAGCTGATACATAATTATGAAAAAATCTGTTATGATAATTTTACTTTTTGAAATGATAAGTAAGCTTAAATGTAACTTGTAAATTTTGGGCATTGCATTCCTATTTGACAAATATATTACGAATAGCATTGGATTTCTTATATAGTACACTCTAATGGTTATTAAACTATTTAGAATGCTTTCAACTTTTTCAATGAGAAGATTAAATCATTATTACATTTACCTTTTTCTTTCGATACATTCCCTTTATATTGTTCACGTGTTTTCAAATAATTGTTTTCATGCTATTTGTGTCTTACAGGCACATTGGGCCGGGTGTATACGTGTACTTATGATAAGTTCATGTATTGTGTGTTCATAGTTTTGTATGTTTACATATAACACATAAATAAAAAAAATATTTTGTTAATCTTACTTTACTTACATATTTAAAACTTATCATCGACTTTAATTCACAGAAACTGGTTAAACGCGGAGATCGTGCACTGGGAAAAATAATATGCGAAAAACATGACATTAAAGATTTTGTATTTAAAACATTTGAAGAAATGAATATTTCATGTGTTGTCCCTATACTATATTTATATATTTTTCGACTGCAGTAGGTGGATTTTAAGCGATAGAGGGTGTCAAATATTTCCTCGGGGTTCACAGATTTGTGGATTAGTATTGTTGGTTATTGGAATAGAATGTTAGCATTGAATAGTAATAGGGTAACTAATGAAAAAAAAACACAAAAAACAAAACAATAAATTGTTCAAATAACGGAAAGTAATTGGTCGAATTGCATCTGCGAACAATAGCAACATATCGGCTATTTTCGAAGTTAAAGAAACGGCAAAATTTCGGTACACACTAACATATGTGTAAAGATACATCATAGTTAATATCTAAATGTACATATTTACTCAATAATCGTTTGTTCAACAATGTAACTTTGTGCAACTTAACATATACTTGCATAGATATATTTGTATCATTTATGGTATACATTAACTTCAATCTCATACGCAAAATTGTCAGCTGTCAGCAATCATCCTCAACACTGGACCTATCAATAAACTGCAGAGGATGAAAATCAATTTTAACCAAGACCCGTACATAAGTTTAAAAATATGTTAAAGGTCAAAACTGCCTTTAATTAAATATTATGTATAATTTCTTACATTCTTACTTACATATAATTAAAAATGTATGTAATAACCCGTTGTTAAGTTTAATGGAAATGTTGTAAGAGTCCATAAGTTTAATTAAAATTTGGAAAAAAATAAAATAAATAAAACGTTTAACTACTAATCAATGTAATAGCAAGTGGTGATAGTTCGACTTCAGATATTGATAAAACTTGATAAAGACCGGGATTCAGTATACTGAACCCTAGATTTTGCACACTTGTTGACAACACTCTACCATTCGTCCTTGTGCATCAGGTTTATCTCCAAACGAATATGATAATGCATTCCTCGATATAATGAAATAAGGAAGACAAATATAGATTATAAAGTTGATTCAAGTTATGTTATCAAGCTACTTCACACGAAAGATAGGACTTTGGATGTGATGTGCACTGGGATGGACAGCTTATCGGCATAAAGAGATAACATTTTACATAAAATTTGCCTTTTTATCAAAATTTTACATTCTTTCTGTTTCAATAGACCAACAATAAGAGTAATTAGTCTGAAAGTTATTGTGTGTTAAGTGGAAATGGCTGAATGATTCTGCTATATTTAGTTAAGTTATATTTGAATTTATGAACTGGATTTAAGCAGGTAAGATTCGTCCAATCTTTATGTGAGTCATCATGCATATTATATGGCAACTGAATTGTACAATTGGGCAACAAAGTTTTTTTCTACACGTCATTCAACTACATAAAGCCTTTAATTTCAAAATAACTTTGATACGTTTTTTTTCTTATTGATTTGTATAGAATATTTATTTTCCCGCAAAAATTCTACGCCGCAAGATTGGAAGAATCTTCCTTTTAAATAATGGGTCCCAGGTCCTAGTGTATAGGTATGCATTTATAAATGCAACATTAAATATCATTTATCAACGAATTTGACCTATCGCTGTTCACGAGAAGCCCGTGCATGCTCTGAAATTAATCTGTCTGTAAAAGAATATCGCTTTTATCTTAGTCCTATTCAATCTATGATGTTGTAGGCAACATACCAATCGCATCTTTTCGGCCATTTCCGTCAGATCACGAACTCGATAGTTTGAACACACCATTCAGAACTGCCTCGGCTATTATCTATAATAACCTCGGAAACAATACGGATTGAAAGTAGTTCTACCACGTGATTTCAGAAACAGAGATAATGTAAAACGAATGTATATATTTGACATCTAATGTCTGTTCCGATACTCTTTTGCTTGAAAATATGTCCGACAACAATTTGTACCTTGTCCAATTTTAAAGATATACTTAGCTCATCTTTAATACCCCGGTCACATATTCACGGAATACACCCACGGAAGAGCCACGGATTAATTCCGGCATCGTCCGTAGCTACCCGTACTGGTCTGTAGCTCTCCGTATTGTAACCGTAATCAATCGTAGTAGTCCTTGTATATCCGTAGCGATCCTTGACAATTTTTGAACATGCACAAAAACTTGCGACGGAAAAATCAACCTTAGCGTATCCCTACTAGTCCGTATTAAACCGTACTGTTACGTACTGGTCCGTACGGTAATCGTTCTAGTCCGTACTGATTCGTAGACCTCAACCTGCTACGGATTTCCACGGTTTGATACGGAGAACTACGTATTTGTACGGTTACCCTACGTATAAGCTACGGTTTCAATACGGATTAATACGGCATTGTCACGGAAAGCTACGATCGTAAGACGTTGTACTACGGAGAGGCAGGGATTAGTACGGTCTTATACGGTTTACTGCGTTGCAACACGAAACGGTACGGAATGGTACGGTCCACCACTGTTTAGTACGGATAAACACGGATTTATATTACATACGTGGAATAAATTAATAATATCATGTGCTTTTTCAAGGGTATAAATACTAGGGATGTCTGGAGCCGAAACGGCCATCCGGATATTCGAATCAAACATCCGGATACATCCGGATGTTCGGATCGTTGTTATATTCTTAGTTGGCTGATATGACGTAACTATTTTTTCGCGACCTTTTTCAAAGTGTAGTATAACGTTTCATTTCCTTTTTAATTGAACGTATCAAAATAATTTTGGTATTGATTTTATTTTTTCTTTATAGAATATAACTGTTATCGATAAATTAAGTGCGTATGATACTTACGATTTCAAATGAAATGAAAATGAAATTCATTGCCGATTGTCTAAATTCCTTAATTAGTAATTAAATACTACCTTCTTGTTAAAATAGACATATTTGCGTGAACATTCAATAAATGATAATTGCCATTTACTGGCTGCAACTTTATATTGAAATAGCTCAGAATGCGGAGGCAGTGGTCGAGCTGCTTGATGACATGCACAGAGGTAAAAATATATTAATATCGTACTACAATTCATAAGTAACAGAATAGAATTTAATGTTACATATTTTACAAGCATTAATTTGGATCTTGAAATTGGAGTAAATATGTACATAAAACGAAGTGTCTCATAAGCCTCGGACG